CGCTGGCAGAATGGTTCGGTACCTAATTATTGTAATACCGACACAGCGATCATGGGTTCGAGACTCGGTATGAGAAAAATTTTCATGTGTTCATTTTTCGAATCGTATGCCCAGGATATGAAGCCAAAAACATCCTATTGTGGGTTACAGATAGAAATATCAATCAAAGCAGTAGTTCAAATCCTGCTTTGAACCAACAGATTCACGTTTGAGAGGGAAGTTTAACCAACTTTCACTCGTTGATTCGTTGTAAGCTACAGTCAGGAATTCCATCAAAGAAATGGTTCGGATCCCACTTTAAGCTGGATGTAAAGGTTTGAGTGCAATAGTCTGACTTTTTCCTGTATTGGGCAGAAATTTACTACGATTTTAAAAATTGACTATGACCAGGTGCGTAGTCAGGGGGGATTTGGGTGACATATCCCCCGACATTAACAGAAATTTCTTCATTTTTAAAAAAATCCCCACCCCTCTTCAAATTCTTGGCTGCACCTGACTATGACTAAGATAAATCCTCTAAGTAGCCCTACAAATCAGTCCTCGATTTATTTGAATTTTCATAAAACCCCCAGACCCCACTTTTTGAAATCTTATTACGAATCAACAAGTTAAGACTCCATTACAACATTACAACGGTGTGAATATATACAAGAAAAATCCTCAACGCATTCAACAGCATTAATATCGACTACATAGCGCATCACTATAAATCACAGCTCCGACTTTTTAATTATATTTCACAAGTGAAAAGAAAAACAGAAGCGAATTACGATATTGTAAAAAGAAATAGACGTATAGATGAATGGCTTCAATAATATGGAATGAGGAATAAAGGAAAATAAACGTTTTATTTGAAACAATCGCAAGAAGAAGACTAAAGAAGGGATTTTGACACTTTTTTTTTCTTCTTTCCTTTCGTTTTTCATTCCTCATCATCATGTCTCTTGCTCTATACAATTCATGTCAGCATCGCTCCAGCAAGTGAAAAAAAGCGGAACGAAGGAAATCATCAAAATAATTTTTTTCTTTCTTTTCAATGAAATCGTATCATGCGCGCAACAAGTTGGATGGAAACTTACAACCAAGAAAAATCTTCAAAAAAATATTTTTTTTCTTCTGTTTCAATGTGACAGAAATTTTTTTTCTATTTTTCCTTCCTTATTTGAAGGAATAAGAAGAATTATATTTAAAGAACAAATTTTTTTTCTTCAAGTAATACGGAAGCAACAGAAGGAAATACGATATTGGCGAAATTGGGAACATTAAACAAGGATATACATTTAATGACATTTTATTGATTTTTATTTTACTCTCTTGTGCTTCTCGCTTTTCCTATTCTATCTTATATATTCAACAGCGTTTGATATGAAAATTTAATATCATTTAGAAATCGAAACTTTCGAAACTTGATGAAGACGAAAAGAAGAAAAAAAAAAAAAAAAAGTTCCATAATGAATTTAATGGAACTGGGTTTAAATTAATTTCATAATGAATTAAATCATTTCCTTAAATTTGTCGGAGTTTTTTCATGACTTGATTGATATGACAGAAACTTTAGGGGATGAAAAAGTGTTCTTATTAAAAGGGTTACGGTAGGCATTAAGTTATTAAAAGTGATGTTTAAATATTTACCTAACAGAACAGACTAATAGATTTTTTGGATTTTAGCACGTGTACTTATAAAGATTTATACAGAACGAGCTGTTCTGATTACTTTTTTTGAAATTATAGGCGTGTGGGTTGGTGGAGGTTAAATTGAAATTAAGAGTCGCATTTTATACATTTTTATAATTGAGTTGCTGCTTAGTTTTTGAGGATTTTTTTTTCTCCATTAAATCATATCAAACGGAATATTTTTCAGCTATTATGAGGTATGAAAACTTTAGTATTTTCTCCTTTTGAGAAGACACAGTCATTAAAGCACTATTTAGTGATAATGAGACACTGTTGCTTTTTTTTCGAGACATTAATGAGAATGATTGATAAATTAACTTCTTTTAACAACAATGAATTTATAGATGAGTTTCTAGAAGTCCATAAAGGTTATTAAAAATTCATGAATGCTTCCAAAAAATTAACAAGGACTCGTGACAATATTTGACAGCTTTATGAGGTCTGCAAGTGTTATGCAAAGTCTAAAAGAACTCTGAGCAATTATTATCATGCAGATAAGCCTGAAACAACTCCGATGAGGACCCTTGTAAGTATTGTAGTGCTTATTTAATTTCAGTAAGAATAAATTGAGTCCAGAAGTGCCTTAGTGAGATTATGAGAGCTCTGATTAGCCTTGGAAGGCATTGATGAATTTTAAAATGCTTTTAAATGTCCGAGATGGGTAACATGTGGTTCTAGGGAGCGTTTTTAAGTCTATCCGAGGTATCCTACGACAAAAATGAATTTTTATGTCCTACATTGTGTGGCATAAATAAAATTAATCAAAGACTAGGACAGAATGTCCGGTGGTCCCAAAAATCGGGTCCAAGGATATGCAAATTAGTCTAGTGGTCCTCTGGTTAGTATATACTTAAGTTTCAATAACATATTCCTTTAATGTAAAAAAAAAAACGATTTAATAGTGATTGATGAGGATATAAATGAGCAGCATTATCAGGACATTATCGGCTTTATTAAGGACATTGGAATTCTAGCATAGGCGACTTGGGAAGGTTCAACAGATCATCGATCGCAGCGCCGCTTTTGCTAAAGCAAAACCCTACATTACATTCTATTCTATTCTAAATAGCATTTTCAATTGTTTTCTGATTTACTTGTCATCTCCAGACGCTCCAAGTTCCTTAAAATTCGACTATCCTCTCTCACTCCCTTCCCAAATCACACTTGAATAAACTACCAAATTAACTTAATTATCCCAACAATACATCAACAAACTTTCGCCCCGAAAAATAGTAAATTGAATAATTAAGTCGAAACAAAATTTTTAAAATTTTTATCCATTAATATTTCAACTTGTAAAACGACTTCGCTTCTCGTAAAAAATCGCTTTTAAATTCCAGAAAAATAAAATCAGACACAAAAGAATTAATTCGGATTAAGCTCTAAATAGCGATTAAAAATTTACATTACAATAAAGCATGAACTAAATATTAGAATGAATTTAAAAAAAAAGTCTTGAAAAACATTAATTAAACTCATCTCGTAATTCTCTTCAATCTTTTTGCTCTGAGCGAAGATTGTAAGGGTTTAGTTTGATGGGTAGAATTGTAAGCTTTTTGTCTGAAAGATTGATAATTATGTTTTAAGTGCTATAACATGATCGATTTGAGTCAACCAAGACTAAGTGAGCTGAAATGACTTAGTGGCTGAGAGGTTAAGTACTAAGATACCTGATTTTTCTAATACAGAAAAGGTAATCATGGGTTCGATTCTCAGCATTGGATATTTTTTCTCTTGTTCTTTTTCAAAGGCTTGGGATAGGACCCACAGCTTTGCTTTGCAGGCAACAAGCAGAAAAGGAAAAGGTTCGAATCCTAATATAAACTGTAGGTTTATTGATGTGAAAAATCAACATCCTACACTTCCTCCTTCCTATTTCCAGTACTAAGACCTAAACTAAGACCACACCTCATTATTGATACACAGCTGATCCCCAAAAAAGTCATTCAATTCGAACTTACTTCGCCAATCTAATAAAAATATGCGTTCAATGCCTTCAACCTGACAATAATCATCATTTCCCTCTTGCCTTTACTGTACACAAAGAGAAAAGTAGCTTCGCAAAGCATTAATTGATGAATTAATTACAATCTTTTGTGTAAACTTTTTTCCTCAACAATGATTTTTTCCCCCCGTTTACTCCGCTGCCTCCTGCCTCGCGTGGCTGAATTGGTGGGATGGAGAACATTATGATGAACAGAGATTGAAATAAAATTTATATTTTTTATCTTCTTTATTTAATTGCCCATTTTCGAATCAAAAGAAGAATGAGAATAAAAACAGATTGATGCTTCATAGCTGCCTCCTATAATACAACAATCAAATCCCTCAATAAAATATAAACACACAAAAAAAAGTCCATCAACATATTGAAAATCCCCAAGTATCAAGGAAGAACATGATAAAAAAAAAGAAATAAACGGTGAAACGATTTTTTTTTATTTTATTGGAAGATGATGATTGTCAGTCGTTTACCTATGTGTGCCATTTCATGAGAATTGCGAAAATGGAAAAATAAATCGACAATCTACATAAACAATAATGGATCTGTGAATGAAATATAGACTTTCGTTCTTCTTCTTCGTACGTTCGTTTGTTTCATGTGTAGCATCAAACACTTACTTTTACTCACTGCAGGATATAGCTTTCAAATTATTCTATTGCAATTACTATGGTCGAGATAGCTTCAAATCAAAAACTGCTGTTAAATTGCAGAAAAAGGCTGGGAATAGTATTTAAAAGGCTGGGTTGAGCGGAGCAAAACTAGGTAGGTCCAGCAAAGTTAGCCCAGTCCGGTCAAGCAAAGTAAGACTTATTAGATCAAACAAAGATATCCAAGATTTTCCATAGATGAGCTGTTAATGACAAACCTACAACTTACCAAATTAAGAGGAAGTTCTAACTTTACAAAAAGCTATCTCACATATTCATCTAACTCCAATTTGAGTCATATCACAATAAAGTGCACAACAAAGCTAGAAATATGAATACAAAAAAAAATGTGTGGATGTGTGTGTACAAATGTGAAAACCATTAAAACTCAACGAGGAGAATTTATTTCCCGACACTCAGAGATTCATAAATTCAACGATCTTTTTTGTATTGTTGTTGGCACTGCCATTATCCGCGCTATCTGAGGTGCTATTGTTGAGAGTGAATAAAGAATTATATTGACTTGAAGGTTTATTGAGATTTGATTTGAGTTCTCTCCTCGTTTTGTGTATTTTTGTTGTTGTTGTTGTTGCTGCTGTTCATGATGATGAATGTACAATATATGAGAGTTATGGGAAATATTATAATCGCGCATAAAAATAAACATTTTAATAGCAAATTGTTAGGAACACATGCATGTACTTTTATATACTTTTTTTTAGGTTTGATGATTGTGGTAAGGAAATTATAAAAAAGGGAAAATTGAAATGCAGTTAAAAATTGAGTACTTTTTTAATGCTGCTTTGAATGGAATTTGACATTAAGTTTGGAATTGAGCAATTTGATGTTCACTTGGATGTGGACTGCTTCCTATGTCTGGATTCTTCGGACACTCCAGAAAGCACTTTCTACTGAACCAGCTGGTGGAATTCTAGAAAAACAAAGAAATTAAAATAATTTGGACATACTTAATTAACTTGTTCTTACTGTGTCCTCATTCCAAAGAAGTTTATAGGAAAATAGTCAGTAATAAAATACCCAAAGAATGGAAATTCTTCATTATTTCTGAAAAATGTAATAAAACTCAATGCTACATGAATTTTGAATGTTCGCATTTCAGTTGGATGTAAAAAATTTGGCAATGGCATTGAAATTTTCTCTTGTCCTCGATCTATGATTTGAAAAACTGTGTTTCCTAAGGCACCAATTCGTATCTCTATCAAAAGATCTTGGTTTGTTATAGAATCAGTCAATCCAATGTGTGCACTTTCACGAGCTGTGATGTTAAATTCAATATCTCTCCATCTATCATTGGGACGAATGTTGTACCATTCATAAGACTCTGAGTTGTTTGTCTCCAGAACTAGAAATGAATAACATTGAAATATGATTTACTGGTGATCTTTGATTTATGCGTGTTCTCCCCTCTCACCCCTCCCCCCCAACTTTTTACATAGTAATTTTTTAAAGCTTGTCTTAAATTGTTAAGGATCGTTCATATATGATGTACAATTTATAAAAAATAATTAGAAGTGGGATCCGTCAATGAACAAATGACATAAAACACTGTATAAAGCAGTGATGTCATGTGACGCATCATTTCCAATAATTTTCTAAGGCACACTGGTTTAAAGTGTTGTGGCAGAAGCTTCTAGAAGGGGAGGAGGATCTAAAAATTCAAATCTTATTTATGACAAACGTCATTTATGAACGATCTACAATTGTCACTTTAAAGGTAACCTTAAAGTCTAACTTACCAAATGGAGTTCTATCATAGTTATCAAAGCAATCCTTCAACTGCCCCATATATGTATCAGGTTCTAAATCATAACTTAAAGTATCAAAATCAGCACAGAGGTTGTCAGAAAACATTGCAACTTTCATGTCAGTCGTTCGATTCATCAAATGATGATCAATGCCAATCATTTGATTATTTCTAACATCCAAGTGACTCAAATCTTTTACAGAACCAAAAGATCTTGAACTTAGCTCATTCAATTGATTTCCATACAAGGACAATAATTTCAGATTTGTCGAGTCGAACGTTCTGTCTGGAATTTCCCTGATTTCATTTTCTTCAAGCAACAAGATTGTAAGATTTGGCAATGATTGGAACCATTCAGGTTTAATGTTTTCTATATGACTTGAATGCATCCCTAAAGTTGTCAATGATGATGATAATGGATTGAAAATGTTTGACGGCAGGTTTGAACAATTATTGTCTGATAAATACAAAATTTCCAAGTTCTGAAGATGTCCAAAAACATTATCTGGCAGATTTTCAAGCTTATTTGAATCGAGGAATAAAGCTCTTAAGCCAGGTAGTTTAAAGCTGTCTCCATTTAGTGTAGAAATTTCATTAATGTCTAATGCAAGGATTTCAAGTGCTGTAAGATCATCAAATGTATTAGCAGGAATGTCTGTCAGTAAATTGTCAGCAAGATTCAAAACTTTTAATTGACTTAATCCATTATCGAACAGTCCTGGACTTAGATCAGTCAAGTTGCATTCACTAAGGTCCAAGAATTCAAGATTTATCAAATGCTCAAAGGCTGATCCAGTTATTGTTGTTTGATCATTACCTCTGAAACTCAATCTTTTTAAATAATTTAAATCCACGAGTACATCAGAAGTAACTTCTGCTAATGAATTATAATCCAAATAAAGTTCTTCCATATGTGTGTTCATGAATAAATGCGGATATAAAGTAGTGATGCTATTGTTGCTTAAATTTAGTACAGCAAGATTATTGCAATTTAGGAACGGATTATTAGACAACGTAATTATTCCCAAATTTACAAACTCCACTTTTTCTAAATTTTGAAAACTATTGCATATTATTGCAGGAATGTTTGCAGTTGTTCCAGCTGAAATGACTTGAACTACATCATTATTGGTCATGTTTATTAAATGATTTCCCATAATACTGGCTACTGGTCCACCAGATGGATTGAAAATTAACATCCTGCAGGTGTATAAATTGTTTTCATCATAGTTGTAATCACATGCAATTAAAGCATACGAAGGCACAAACGTTATACACAATATTACAAGTAACTCTTTCAAAATCATTTTAATTAAATTTTAAAACTTTTTCGATCACTTGGGAATTTTGAGGTTCTTCAACCTTTGAACTAGATTGTTTTTAATTTTTAATTTTTAACAATTATTTTAATTTCGATACTCTTTGAAAGCTGTTTTATAGGAACCTTAAATTATTTGCACGACAAAAGTCAACTGTTTAATTCGCAACAATATTAAACTCTTATATTTAAAAATTGTTATCATATTAATTTTATTATCACTTGTCGTAATGTACTTGAAGTACATTATCATACTGATTAAGTTAAGACCAAGGCGTATACACTTGGAATTAATTCCAAATAAATTACAACACTTTCTGAGTCAGGATTATCAAATGAAGCGAAATTCAGGAACCAGAGTTGTCAACCATCAATTTCCAATCAAAAGAAAAAATCTATCTTGGAATTGCCTTTAGAAAGGCATTAAGATTTACCTTCAACAATGGTTGCCTAGCTATTTTCTAGGTTGTGTCTTTGGCTGGGCACACTTTTTTGCATTTAGCTAGGCATGCCTATAGATGCTTAGGTGTTGTCTGGATAAAGGCAAAAACCACCATGATTCAGGTAGAACCATGGATGAACCAGGATGAGGCCTGCCCAAAGGTACATATCTGACAAATTTGAGTAGGAATCATCAATGTGATTTTGTAATCATATAATAAAATACTTTATAAAAAAAACTTTTTAAAAAAACTACGTTTTTCGCGTAGACTAAAAAGTAGAAAATAACTTTTATTCTTGGTTGTAAAGAATTTGGTTTTAAATTTTCAGATTATATTTAATAAATTTTTATATCCTAGTCAATATTGTTCACAAAGTTTCGAATAAGTGCACTTTGATCTTATCGTATAACTCAACAACTTAAAAACGTGGGCGCATTAATTTAAGTTTATCATAAAGTATTGATTTCACATAAACTTATTTCTTCTCTTATAATGCGCCCACGTTTTTAAGTTGTTGAGTTATACGATAAGATCAAAGTGCACTTATTCGAAACTTTGTGAACAATATTGACTAAGATATAAAAATTTATTAAATATAATCTGAAAATTTAAAACCAAATTCTTTACAACCAAGAATAAAAGTTATTTTCTACTTTTTAGTCTACGCGAAAAACGTAGTTTTTTTAAAAAGTTTTTTTTATAAAGTATTTTATTTTCTACTTTTTAGTCTTATTCTAATGAAATAGAGAAATAAAGATTATAGGGGGTTTATAGGTTACAGGTGTGTTGAACTTCACTTCGTTACGTTCAACTGTTTATAGATTACAGTAGGTTTATAGGTTACAGGTGTGTTGAACTTCACTTCGTTGCACTTCGTTACGTTCAACTGTTTATAGATTACAGTAGGTTTATAGGTTACAGGTGTGTTGAACTTCACTTCGTTGCACTTCGTTACGTTCAACTGTTTATAGATTACAGTAGGTTCATAGGTTACAGGTGTGTTGAACTTCACTTCGTTGCACTTCGTTACGTTCAACTGTTTATAGATTACAGTAGGTTTATAGGTTACAGGTGTGTTGAACTTCACTTCGTTGCACTTCGTTACGTTCAACTGTTTATAGATTACAGTAGGTTCATAGGTTACAGGTGTGTTGAACTTCACTTCGTTGCACTTCGTTACGTTCAACTGTTTATAGATTACAGTAGGTTTATAGGTTACAGGTGTGTTGAACTTCACTTCGTTGCACTTCGTTACGTTCAACTGTTTATAGATTACAGTAGGTTTATAGGTTACAGGTGTGTTGAACTTCACTTCGTTGCACTTCGTTACGTTCAACTGTTTATAGATTACAGTAGGTTCATAGGTTACAGGTGTGTTGAACTTCACTTCGTTGCACTTCGTTACGTTCAACTGTTTATAGATTACAGTAGGTTTATAGGTTACAGGTGTGTTGAACTTCACTTCGTTGCACTTCGTTACGTTCAACTGTTTATAGATTACAGTAGGTTCATAGGTTACTGGTGTGTTGAACTCCACTTCGTTTCACTCCGTTACGTTCAACTGTTTATAAATTACCAGTTTTCAATGGGAAATTAGTAACGACTTTCAAAATTTTTCATTCGTTTTATAAAATTTAATTTTTTTAAAGCATTCATTAGTAAAGTACATTAAAAATCACTCGTAAAGATTTTGTGTTTATCCGAACCATTCCTACTACATAACGTGTGGATTCTTAACATAAAGATGCAAATCAAATCTATATGTAACGTATTTATAACGGATTTTCAAATTTAAATTCACTGAATATCATTCATATGTTATGCAAAAATACGTCAAGCCGTTAATAAAAAGAAAAGTCAATTTAATTAAGTTGGTGAAGTGTTATAAATAATGCAATACATTTAAAACAGCATAAATTTATGCTCAATCAATGTGTGCTAAATGCACATCGCATATTAATAGTTATTTTGCATAAATTCGTAACGGACTTAGGCTTAACGGTTTTTTTGAAAATTCAAATTTTCACTTACGAATATTCATGAAAAAATTACATGTCAATTTTTTTGTCTTACCAGAATATCTTTAGCTGCTCAAATTTATGGTATAATTAATAATTAGTAATATTAATTAAACTATAATGAATCATATAAATGACTTTAGAGCATCACAAGTATAATATTTTAAACAAATCAAAATTTCATATCATTGACATTGGATTTTTCTCCCAAATAAAAAAGTTTTATTAAAATTGTACTATAATTAAGCATTTTTGTGGTTCCAATGTGTTAAAATATTGTATTGTCACCGGGAATACGTGTGAATAAAAAAAATGAGCTCGATTGGAGCAGTAGAAGTGGTCGAAAAATTGATCGCAAGATTTGACCTTGACAGACAAATAAACAGACAGATAAGAAAGCAAGTTAAGAAAAACGTAGTAATAAAGAGCTATGATTTTTTTCGAAATTAATCTCGAGCGTAAACGCCTTAGTTATACCAAAATAAAATAAAATTCGAAAGAAAAGTTCATTCTTATCAAGATTAACGAAAGCAGAATTATCAAAACAAAATTCATTAAAGTAGACAAGTGACATAAAGAAAAATCCCCTTTTTAAAAGTATTTGATAAGGAAAATCAACAAGTGGCTAATGCGTTTCTTATCTCGCTAGAAATGGGTTATTGTGAATTACTTGATAACCACTTTAATTTCAACATATGAGTTTTTCGAGTAGAATGATTGTTTCAACTAAGGCGCGTCCCTATTAAGGGAAATTATAGGTTATTCTAAATTCATAATCAAGACTATGTCTAAACACATGCTTCTGTCTATATGATATACAAAAAATATGATAGAAGTATTCAATCAGAAGTGCCAAAGCCTCATCAAAAGAACACTTAAAATATCAAATACTCCTTTAATTGACTCATTGGAATTTATGACTATTATACAATGCGATACCATATCAAACGGAATCAGTCATGGTGAGTGCAATCACAAAACACAAATGTCCAGAATAGTAAAAAAAAAGTCAGAAAGTCGAGATGGAATGATGAATTGATGAGGAGGTGGGAGGGAGTTGAATTGGAATGTATATGAATAACACAAAAGGTATTATCCCCAATTCCTTTGATATTTGATTCCCTATAAATGTCAATGCTGTTGATGATGATAATAATAATAATAGGAAGCAAAACAAGCGGCTTTGACACTTTCATAATTGATAGATTAAGTGGAGGCAATTGAAGCACAAAATTCCAAAATTTCAATTCAATCGGATTTCGATTATCGGATCAGTTTACATTCCTCAAATTTTGACATCAATTGTTGGAATTGTTCATTTACAAGTACTTACTATGGAAATTCCTTTCATGCTTTTGTGAGCAATTTTCTCTCCTGATTTTATTCATCTCATCCATAACTCTGAGAGTTTTATGTATGATGGAAAATTTATGCAACAGTTTTCACATTCCTTTTATATATTTTTATTTCGCATTTCCTTTAAGCATGCCTTTATTGCATCTATGAGCTCTAGATGAAAATTCTTTTCTTCAATTTTTATTTTCATTTTTGACAAAGGAAAGAAAATCTTCAAAGGAAAAAAATAGAGACGAGTTAAGAGGAAAATCGCATGTGAGAAAGTTCCTTTGAAATGCAAAAAAAAAAAGCCACAATCAGAATTCAATTCGAGATTAATCTTTCATCTCATACACTGTTTGCTTTATGTCTATGACTGCAGACGGCAGTAAGTAAAACGATTGAAGAGATTTAAATAAGAATTGGATATTGGTACTTTTGTAGAGTTAGTAGTTTTATTTATAGTCTATTTTCACACATTTCAAATGTTGCCACTGTAGATATGGCTTGAAGAGTATATCTGTGGTAGATAGGGCTGAGCATAAGGATCACTTTGGAATTAGTTGTTTGTATGACGGATAGCCGAAGTGAAATAAGTTCTTCGATCGTCGAGTAGCAAGGATCTCTGATCGAGTGGTTAGAGATCGCCTCTTTTGAGGTCGTAAGTTCGATTCTCATCGAATTCGACTTGTTTTACACTAGCATACACATATAGCAATTATAGGGAGATCTACAGCCTCCAATGAGCATGATGAAAGTAAACTTAGAACTAATCAGTGATCAACTGACTCCACAAACATCAAGGCACTGTTTTGGTAACATTTCAATGTGCATTGATTGGTTTATTTATTACCCATTTATTACATTACAAATACATTTTTAATTGATACCCTGAAAGCACAAGTCGGTTAATCAATCAAAAATCTGATGCCATGCCGACGTGGCTCAGGAATGGAGCTGGATTCGATTCAAATCCGGTTCCACGTTTGGATTTCTGATCGATTAACAGACTTGTGCTATCCGGGATATATAAATAAATAATTATTCTTAATTAATATCTATAATTTGACTATCTGTTATATTGACTAGGTTTTTGAATAATATCGTACAATTATCAGGATCATCATACCCATTTAATAGTTCAAATATATTCTTTGTAGTAGGTTCGACTTGTTCTTCAAAAAAGTCTCTTAATCTCGTCATATTTGATTTAAATGTTTCTTTTAGCAATTGAGCATATGCAGTACATATTTCAAAAGGTCTAAGAAGGATCAAGTATGGAATGAAATCTTTAGATCCTGAAGTTATGATTTCTTGAAGTTCAATTGTATTAAAATATTTTTTATAAATATTTAAGACATCGTGGTAAGATGACAATCCTTTAAACACATTGATGCCAATTTCACCCAATAATGAAGCTTGAAGGAGGTTAAGACGAGGCACTAAATAACAAAATCTAGTATAAAACTCATTCATATAACAATCTATATCAGCAATATATGTTAAATAAAACATTTTTTGCTCAAGAACTGTGTGACTAGCGAAAAAGTTCCACGCAGAGTTGAATTTTTGGAATTGAGTGTCGTTATTGCTACTTGCAGCTATCAAATGTAATATTTTATTATTATAAAATATATTGAAAATCTCATCATCTATAAACAAGCGTTCAAGTTTGCCAATTAAAAAATTTCGAGTTATTTCATTTTTAAGTGAAAATATAAAATCAAATGATTTTGACAGCCAAGCTTTTTGCTCGTCTGGTGATAAATATTCGTCAACTAAAATCCATAATTTTTCATAATAATCTAGAGAATTCTCTATTATAATAAGATTTTCATGTGATGGAGTTTCTTCTTGAATTGGATATAAAACTAACTTTGAACCTAAAAGTACTTTAGTTTCATTATTAGTTGTAGAATTAACAATCGATTCCAAAACAAAATAGCTATCATTGCTGTTTAAAATTTCTTCATTTAAACAATATTCTTTGTAATTGTTTTTAACATTAAACATACTCTTGGATATTCTTTTGTAATAATATGAACTGTACATGAAAAGTCCCTTTTTATCCTTTAGATCTGTGAAGTCAGCAAACTGTTCTGAAGAAAGCTTTTTCTTAGCGTACTTAATAACACTTTCTCGTTTAACCATAAATATATTAATTTCGGAAATGGTCACAAAATCGTATGTCTTTGCAAGAAATGATTCATTTTCGCCTTTTAAATGCATCTGTTCAGTTAAAAGTTTCATGTCTTTTCTAAAAAAGTAGAAAAAGAATGGAAATGGTTCATAAACTTGGTGTAACGAATATGAAAGAATATTTTTAAACTTTTTACGAAACAGCTTCAAAATTACTGGATCAAATTTTTTTGTTTTATATTTTTCTTTTAAAACATAAGAGCTCATAAATTTCTTAACTCCCCTCCAAGTTGAATACTTTTGAAATAATTCAATTCTTAATTCAGCTTCCTGTTCAGTTGGTCCATCATCAGCATTATAAACCTTTTCAATTAAATATTGTGCAATAAAGAAATCACAAAATGTTCGATGCCCAAGTCCATAATTATCATTTTCATCTGGATATAGAATTCCCATTCGTGAAATTTCATCAATTGTCAATTCTTTTGGAGCATTTTGATGACGAATTTTTAACTTTAATGTTAGGAAACTTCCAACTTTATAATAATCACTTCGGAGTGCATCTCGTTGAAAATATTCTTTCATATTAAATCCAGTCGCGACTATTGTTTTGATAATTTCTGTTGCAAATTTACTAGTTTGAAGCCATATTAAAATCTTTTTGTCAACAAACTTTTCATAAATTTCATACAAGTTTTCAGATTCAAAAATGTCAGGATAAGTAAATATTACGTCTGCAATCATTCCCAACAACAATGGTGTATTGAAATCACTTTTTTCTTGTGCAGAATCAATAATCTTTTTCACTTTGTTGACGTATTGTTTAACCTCACTTTTACTTACATTTAAGGAAAGAAAGAACTCATAAAGATATACAGTTTTTCGATAATTAAAAAAGGGAAAAAGTGTAAATGCTTTTGTTCTGAAAGTAGATCTTAACCAATCAGAATATAAAGATCTAGTTGATATAAATTGAATATTATTGGTAGTATTATATATGAAAATATTAATTTTTTCAACAATTTTTCGATTAACTGCAGGAATTTGATCAAAACTATCCCACAAGAAAATAATATTCCCTGATTTAAAATTGTCTTCGAAAATTTCCTTCTCGAATTCATTTTTAGAACTTAGGCCGAGTATTTTGTGAACAATTTCATGTAATTTTTCTGTGCTTGTAAAATTTTGAAGTAAATCAACATAATCTCGACAGTCTAAATAAGTAATCCATCTCTTGGGAAACTTTAACTTAATTATTAAAGTGTACTGTTGAAGTAAAATTGTTTTTCCTGATCCAGATTCAGCAGATAAAATAAATATTTTATTCTCAAATGCCTCACGTAAAGTTCCACCAATATTAATTTTAAATTTCTTATAGCGAAGAAGTGAATCAACTTCTTTATTTGACCGTGGATCAACTATTTTTAATTGAAATGCTGAGCATAATTTAAATCTTCGATTATCTCGAATGTCATGAATCATTTTGGTTTGAATGTCAAAATTCATATTTGTAAAATTTTCGTAAAATTTTTCAAATTTAACCTCAAATGTGTTAGGTGTCTTTTCATACATGCAATTATTGTCATAATTAGGGATTGTACGTGTGTATATATACCAAAAGTAAATTTCATGAATTTGTTCATCAAATAAATATCTTCCGCGATAAAATACTGTCGTATTTTGAATAATTCTATGAATTGTTAAGATTTCATTGTCTAATACGTTAATTATTTGATTTGAGGTTAAGTATTTAAAAGTTGAAGATGAAGAATTATACAAATCTTTGAGTACTAAAGTTGCATTTTGAAAATTATACTTTGAATTCAAGAATTTGTCTTTCATCTTTAGTGTCAAATTGGTCCAACTTAAAACAACAAGTTCATCTAAATAGATTAGATGTGGATCATTAAAGTTTAATGGATATTCACTAAGCATTTTTGAAATGTGATCTGATGTTAATTTGTAATAAGCAGAGCAATTTGATGGAAACAAATCATGAAATTCTATACTAATATTTTTATAAATAATTGGTGCATTTTCAACTTTAAGCCGTTCTTCATTAGATAATGTGGAAAAAGTATAAACTGGCTTATACAAAATATATCGGGTTACTAGAACTCCACACAAAATAGCTATAATTGATATTAAACCAATTACAATTGATATTATTCTCATTCGTCTTATCTTACGCTTATTCTTTTCAGCTTCAATTTCGGCATTTCGTTCGATTCTTGGCAAAGCATGTTTCATCTCTAGAAATATTTTGTCTTCAAAAATCTTAAATAATTTAATAAAAATCTCTCGAACCGCTTGAAACTTTTCGGGATTCTCAAAATATTTCATAATTAAATGAGGAACTCGTACGACTAGTTCAGCATGATGCATAAAAATTGAATAGTTATAAACTAAATCGATTATTTTCTCTTTTCCTAATTTTGCTTTACATACTTTTAAAATTTCATCAAATTGCCGCTCACTTTTGATATCTTCAATCGTATAAGGCTTTGCATTATTTTCATAAACTAAACTCATTGCATAATGACAAAGTTCATGAGCCAATGTACCAAGACTTTTATACTTTTGCTCATGATTCAAAAGATTCTTCGCACCAATGTAGATTCTCCCAGTTGGATAAAATTCTCCTAATGTTGATTCATTTGCCGTTGGATCAACAACCTCGACTGAATCGCGATTAAAATCAAAAATGATACGAAAGTTTCTAGATGCAGCGACAATTATCAGAATTATTTGAGTAAATTTATTTCGATTCAATAATTCGAAAGCCTTTTGGATTGTTAAGTATTTCAAATTGGCATCAGATGTATTGTGTCCTAAACGTGAGTTTGACAGCAATACATGCATATGATTGTCAGGCAGAAATTTAGATTGATTATAATGAATTTCTCGAAGTTTCTCACGATCACTTTCCTTCAATTCATTCTTAATTTCACTAAATTTCTCATGTGGACCAAGTAAAATATTTTTAGAGATAAGTAAACTGTACATGTCAAATAATCTGTATTTTAATGCATATGCTACTGCTGACTCATTATTAGAATTATAAAAGTGACGCATTTCTGTATTTTGAGATAAAATATTAAGGACAAATTGCTCATTCTTTAAAGTCATAGCTTCATTTAATTTCTGACTAATTTCATAAAACTCTTTGATATCATTTGGACATTCGTCAACATTAAATGAATCAGGATATGTCAAATTTGATTTTAAAAGGATCAATAATACCTCAAAATGTCGACCATTCCATGTTAATATTTGTGCATTTGTCCCTCCTGATTCTGTACTACAATTACAGTTTAACATTAGTTTAACAATGTATGGATCTCCTTGCTCAGCAGCGATGAGAAGTAAGTTATATTGCCGATGATCAGCAAGCAGATGCAGCTCAAATGTGTTTAAACGTGGATGTGTTGATACACGACTTTGAAGTCCTAAGAATGATTATGATTAGTTCAGAGAGAGGTTATATCAGTCAAACAAGTTTAACCTTACCTAAATGTCCAAGTTTTAATGATTCAGTTAGAAAACCTCCCAGGAATTCAAACAACTTAAGATCATTCATAAAAGATGATCCACTGTAAATTTTAAAAATCAAAAAATATTTAATCTTCTTTGATTTCCAATAAAGAAAGAAATTTTTGCCATCTTTTGTCATCAGAATGATTGCAATTGAATTATTGATACAAATACGCCCTAGATTCTCTACATCTGATGGACTTGGTCTTTTTGAAGTCTCAGAAATTTGAAGTTTAAATAAAAAAATGTTTTTTGATTTCTTTAACAATCTTTTCACTTCTGTTGAATTCATATAAGTCATTAGATCTTGAACATGATAGTATTTAGATGTATGTTCAATAGTTGGAGTATTCGGGCAAACAGTTATACTTTCTGAAACATTAAATTGAAAGGTTTTATTAATTTTAGCAATCGAATAGAAAATTTACCAAATCTTGTAGCATTATCATCATCTTCACTGTCGTCACTATCATCGTCTTCATCGTCATAGTTAAAAAATCGCTTGTAAATATTTCTTTTAAAGAAACTCATTTTAATATTTTCAGCTTTCAACCTTTAATACTTGAAATCTCAAATTAGATTTAATTAAAAAAATTAATATGAATGCATTTCATGACAGCATGAATAAGTGAAATCAGTGAATTTAGAATGAATTAGTTCCATGAGTAATCCTTTGTTCGTGACTTTTATGTGATATAATAAAAAAGTTGTCAAAATTTATTTTTTTTTGTCAATTTCGAGAGCTGTGCATTGAAGTCAGTTACTGTTCAGTAATCGATGCACAAAATGTCAAAGCAAATAATTATTAATTCTACATCGAATTTAAATCAACTCCTGGAAATTGACGAGCATGAATATCAAAATAAACAAAGCATTAATCAACTTCAAATAAGTGACGTACCATCGTTAAATAATGGAATTGAGCTACTCACTCAGGAATATTTTAAATCTAAAATAACATCATATCCAAATTTAATTGGTGTGATCTTGAAGATTAATGAGGAAATTAGTGAAAAGTTGAATAATGATCAGCAATTCTACAACATTTGGAATAAACCATCATTTTTTATTGCATTTCAATCAACTTTTGGCGATCATTGTTGCAAAATCTTTTGGAAAATTCCTGAAAACGAATCATTTTATTCACTTTTGATTGATGACGATACAAATGAAGATGTTTCTTTATTTTTTCGAGATTTTCTTGAAGGAGAACTAAAGGATGGACGATCAGGTATGAATACTAATTTATCCCATTAGAAAAGTCATTATTTTGTCGAACATAAATCTTATATAATAATGTGCGAAGGGCCCAGCCTTTCAGCTGGTGGCACTGCGATTCAATTTGTAAAGAATCTACTGTATCACACCATTTAGACCTACAGTTTTTAATGGGATCCGAACCACTTGCAAGCTCTTCACATTGCAAAGACACGAGTACGTCATAACACCTGATGTACCCTGCAATGTATCTAGTCACAATTCGTATGCGCAAGATGCCGTAAGAAAGTCATCCAGATGCTAGTTTATCCTTGTATACCTAGCAAAGGAGGCATATTCTGTGCCAAACACATCAATGCTCCATCCAACACACGAACCGAGCTTCGTAACTAGAACGGTGAAATGGAAAAAGAGCTTCAAAAATTAGACATGGCCTGGAATTGAACCCAAGACCTTTGACACAGAAAGCCAACGCTCTACCATTTAGTCCACTGATACCATTTCTCCGTTGCACAAATCTTAAGTGATAAGTCTTTAAATTAGTATCATATTAAAATATAAAAATTGGGGTACTTTCAAGTCCTTCTTTATCCACAATTTAATTTGAACTATACTTAAATCGGTGGTGGGCAACCTTTATTGTGCCAGGATCAGCATTACCGACATTACACAGTGCAGTCGGTTTATGGGATTTCTAGAATTTTCAATGACTAATGACTAGACTAATGATAAATAGATGCAATTTACATAACGAGTTTTTCAATTGTTCAGTTATCAATTTGAGGGAGACTCATCTTTATAAATCATAGTTTTAATAATCATATTCTCGCTGAACTAAAATGTAGAGTCTAAACACAGTTTAAATTAAGGCGTGGAAACTATCCCAAATATCATATTTATCCCACATATCCTAAAAAGATTAAAAAAATTCCTGAGCATGTAGCTTCACCCCCTTGATATTAACGCAGCTTTAGATCCCACAATAAATAATCTAGAAATTTGTATTTCAGGAATTTTAAAACCTTTTCAAGTAAAAGGCAAAATAAGGATTCAAGAAGTTGGTGATGAAATGGGTAGAAGTCTTCTAGATCTTGCAGTTCTAAGGAATCAACAAACAGTCACTGAAAGATTAATGAGACATGAATTTTACACAAGTGAGGCAATCAATCATGCATGGACAAACTACATAGAAAATGACAAAGAAATGATTAAAAATACAGCAAATGAAATAATTTTGATACTTTTGAAATCAAATTCAACAATTCCGAATGATTTTAACTATGAACAAGCATCCCAAAAAGTTCAGGAATTTGTAGACTATTGTGAGGATATCCATGAAGATGTGAATGAAAACAAATTTGAGAATTTAAACACAAAACTTGATAAATATCCAAACATGATTTATTTTTACAATAGGAACAATCAATCACTTCTAGCACATGCTTTTAAAAATAGGAACTATGATATCCTGAAGTATCTTGAAAGAGGCATTACAATCGGACCACATGAAGATATTAAAGATGTCTACAAAAATGTAATTTCAGATAACATTGCAAATTCTTTAAGAACCACAAATAGGCAAAATTCAAATGAAAATCCAGAAAGTCATCTTTTGTCGTTAAGATTCAAGTCCAGGATTGGCAACAACGATCAATATTCACACCAAAAGTGGAGATATGTGAACGAAGCATTTGAAAACATAAATGCCAATAAATATTGCTCATTGATTTTAAAAGTGACTGCTGAATGTAAGAAATTAAGAATTTTCTTTGATTTTAGGCATGACTCAACTTATTACATGGATCCAGCAACCTCTATTTTTTCACGAGGAATCATTTATGAAGGTGGATCAATTTTTATTGGTGCAAAGAATTTAATTGACGATCAGAAGAAGTTTGAAGTGTTTGGAGTGCTTATTCATGAACTATGTCATCTTGCTATCTACATGACATTCATGAACCGGAACTTTGATCCATTTTCGCTCGGAAAAAGTAAAGAAAAGAAAAGATTTCACAATAAAGTCATGAATCAATGCAAAGATAAGCAAGATTGTGAGACACTCGTTAAGAATGTGCTGAGCTGCTATTCAGAGAGCATTCAATGCTCTGAAATGATCGTTGTTGCTCCTCAATTGATGATCACGTACCAAAATGACACAGAAAGGGTTGAAGATCTTAGAAAGCTTTTCAGTGAACTTTTTAAATACAGCGAAGAAGTTGTTGAACCAGAATTGGAGAGAGCTTTGCCTGTTTTGAAATCGTTATGGGATGAAAAGCCAGTGACTTTCAAAGATTTGACAAAACCAATGAAGGCTAAGATCTGGCATGCAGAAATCAATTTTCAAGGAGTAGAAACTACATTTTATCAGCTGATAGGAAGTGATCAGGAAATTTTAGAAGTGCTTTTATTTGAGGATATTGTAGATATATTATTAAAGAACTTAGTCAGCGAAATTGGGGAAACCTGTGAATTAGACTTAAAGTATGAGTTGTCAGAAAGAAGCTTCATCAACCGAGACATCGAGGCGAAATTAAGAAAATTGATGCCTTTAAGCTATAAGCAGGAATTAGATAAATACTCAATGAACTTCGAAGAAATCGAAATTGAAGCAAGATCTAAGCAAATTATGATTCTTGCCGATTTTGCTGGAACTGGAAAGACAACAATTTTCAAACACTACACAAAAAAGTTAAAGTCTATTAATGAAAACCATTGGGTATCCTTTATAAATCTAAGAAAATGTCAAGAAGTTTTTGAAATTTTTGATAAAATTTCAACTACTGAACAAGTTCTGAAGCTTCTGTTAAAAATCCTCAAACCACAATCACAAGTGGAAGTTAAAATTTTCATAAAATTATTTTTCGATGGCAATGTGATTTTACTGCTTGATGGATTCGATGAAATCAGCCAGAAATATACTGCAACTCTTTTAAAAATCTTCAAAATCTGGAAAGAAATGAATTTATCAAATGAATTGTGGATCTCAACACGTCCACATCATGTTAAAGAATTGGAAGATTTTTTCGATGTTTCAGCATATAAATTTAAACCATTTTTAGAACACGAAAGGATGAATTACATTAATGAAATACTTATTAAAAATGACGTCAGTGATGATCAAGAAGAAATTTATAAAGAAATATCAAAATTTATTACAAAATTAGAAAAGCATTCAGTTGATCTTCAAAGTGTTGATAATTCATTAATAATCCAAATGATTACAGAACTCTACACTCAAAAAGCTATCAAACTAGACACTAGTAGTCGTTATGAACTTTATTTGATCATGATAAAGACTCAAAAGAAGAAAAATGGAATTAAAATCCCCAACGAGGATCGAGATCGTTTAACAAAATTATCAATCTGGGAAGTACATCAAGTCTTAGCTTTAATGGTGATTTTTGGTACAGATTTGGAAGAAAAACTTGGATTTAAACTCAATGAAATGTCATTAATTAAGAAATGGAAAAAAGTATCCAAAGATTGGACATCAAAAATGATTCAACAATATGGATTTGTGACTGTTGATATGGATGCTCTTAATAATGAAGGTAGGTGCTTGAAAGTTCATCTGCTAGACGCAGGTTCATCTAAAACTTAGGTTTAATATTTTTAGAAAATGTTTCAGCATCCAAAAATATTCCAGCAAAACAATCAAATATAAAATTCTCAACTCGAAGTCCATTTCAAGACAGCCAACATCATCCCATTAAAGAAGTACAACTCTCACTTAACATTACAGTTAAAGCAAGTCCAATAGATTTTATACATAGAACATATGCAGAATTCTTTGTTGCACAGTTCATGATTGATTTCATATTCAATGACAATGGTGACATGAAAGAAGAAGCAATTCAGAGAAAGTTTAAGTTGTTTGAGGCAATCATGAGAGATACCGAGAAGCTTAGTGTTGTGCAAGAGTTCATTTTAAGTCATATCGAGAATGAAGCTCAAGCTGATGGCAAAGTCCTTGACGAGGATGTTCAAAAGCTAATTTTTGAGAATATCTTACAGATTCATAAGGATTTTAAAGTATTAAATGATTCCGATGCTCAAAAAATGTGCAAATATTTCAAAAACTATGCAACTCTTGCCTGTGTTTGTCCTGAAATTGTGGAAGTGCTTTGGAAATTTGAAGATTCTGGAAATTTTCTTAATTTTTTGATTCGTAAATTTTCAGCGTCTTCAAAAACTAATATTGAGTGGATCATTAAGTCAGCTGAGCTATGTTTTGGTTCAAACTGGAATGAAAAGTTCAATAGAAGTGACAAAGCTTTGATCACAGACGAAGAAATTGAAAAATTCAAACTGGAAAATGCGGATGAACAAAAATGGGATTGTGATAAAAACATGCTGCAAATCAGCGATCTTGTGGATAAAAATTTCGAAAGTGACGTAATTTATGGATTTTATAAGGCATTGGATATGTCGCTGATCGCAAACTTCAATATTTTCAAAGAAATATCTCAAAAAGTTAAGAATTTGATAAATCAAGAAGCATTCGCAAGAAAATGCTTCAAAGAACTGAATTTTGATGAAGCTTCAAAGGAAATTGTTGGTTATGTTTTGAATATTATCCATTCTTATTTTGTTGATGACCCAGAGACACTTAGATGCTTTCTGTTTAAGAATTCACCAAACAAATGTCCAGCATTAGTTCAATCATTTTCTTCAAGAGATCCTGAAGTATTCAGACTTGTTAAGAATTTTTACTTGAACTATAAAATTCAAAATTCATGGAAAGAAATCCAAGACATTATTTTAGACAACATGGGAATCATTCAACTCATCAACGGAGTCAATTCTCAATTTTATTCTGATTTCAGAGACTTTATTAAGGAAGTATTTAGATCAAATAATTTAAGAATTGAAGATGAATTGAAGAATTATTTTTCTGATAAAAAGTTTTTTGAGTTTCAAGTGAAACTTTTTAAAAATTTAGAAGATTTTTGTTCGACAATCTGTCCAACATTAACTGTGGATTGGTTTAAGAGGAAATGTGATAAAGATTTTTAAAAGACATGTGAAAAAACAGGTTTAAGTCTAAGATTTTGCATTGTATTGCTTGAATTCTAGTAGAAGTAAACTATATAGTGTTAAAATTCTACCAGTATCGGCACTTTGTAATGTGAGCACATGCTTACAAATTTTCAAGATCTCAAAACAATTACTTAAAAATAATATTCAAATGCACACAGCCAGTCATCGTTATAACTTCGTTGCTAGGAAATATAATTCCGTCTTAGGTAGTCACACATTTTACATACGAGGTCCCAATCTTTTCAACTCAGTGCCACAAGACACTAAGAAATTAAATTCAATAATCATTTTCAAAAACCGTATTAGGGAAATTTTTTTCGAAATTTATTGAAATGCAAATAATATTAGTTATTAAAAAACTTTACAAATTAAAATTATAAATATTCATAGCACAATTGAAAAATGAAATAGGGTAAACCATGTTGAAATTTGTGTGTTTTTGCACATGGAGATTTGATTTGCAAATAACTTGCTAATGACTGATGATGAAAATTTGCTTATGGGCTCAAAAGATCAATAATTGTGGGAATTTTCAGTTAATAATAAAAAAAAAATGTTGAAATTTGTGCGTTTTTTTAATAGAAATCTTTGACATAATTGCAATTCTTAAATGTAAACAAACATTTTATTTACATATTTTTGGAGCAGAAATTGATATTTTGCTGATGGAATTTAGAATATTTGAATAAACTTTAAATGAAATTAAGATCATATAGCTGATTTGTTTCAAACCTTTTCCTCAAGAAATAATGCAAGATTCAAGATTTAACTCAGTTTAAGCTGGGTGAGTTTACAACCGTCAAAGGAACATCCATTAAATCAGCAATTCCTCCATTTTTTTTTGTAAATTTTATGCAGCATAGAGTTATAACAATGAAAAGATGAGAATTAGGAAATCAAAATGTTTTTATTTAAAGATCTGAAATTAAACACTAAACAGGATATACTTTTTGAATGTATGGATATTCTTGAAGTCTGTTGCATTTTTTTTTTATTTTTATCTAAAATTTTAAATGATCCACGTTTTTCATTTTTATCAGCTGTTATCAGTTTTTGACATTCAGTAGTTCCATTTATGCTTTTATTTATGATTTGTAAAAGTTTAATGCTATTCTTCGTAAAATCCTATAAAACATGAATTTTATACGTAAATAATACTTGTTTTATATAAAAATTCCCACCACTTTCTAAGACAAAAAACGCACAAATTTCAAAATTTGTAAAAAAATTTCGCACAAATTTTAACATTTACAATCAAGAAATTATAAAATCAATTTTTAAAGCACTTCCAATGATTTTTATAACTTAAATTTCTTTTGAAACCGTATAGCAATTATCAAATTTTGTATTAAAACTGTGATTTGATTACAAGCAGCACTGGTTATGTCCAAATATTTAAAAATATGAAAATCACAATTTTGTATGGAATTTTAAAATATTCAAATTTAAAGCTGCTCCAAGCTTAGAGACTGTTCAAAATGATGTAAAAATGTTTGTACAACTGTTTTACACAGAACTGCAAACAAAATTTTGGTTTAAATGGCTTATTTGGGCTGTTTTTTTTTTCATTAGTTCATCTAGCCAATAGCCTCATGGCTACGCTACTGGTCACTGGAAGCAGGGGTCTAAAATTCCATTAGTTGATGAACAAAATACAGTGCACAACTCTTATTGTCTAGTCATCATCTAATAGCTCTAAAAATTGACAAGACTGATTTCACTTCTGCCAATTCTTCTAATTCACTTTCTTCGCTATTTTTCCTCACTTTTAATATAATTGTATTAATGTTATTGACTTTTCTATTTTTTTCTTGTTATTGTAATGTCCAACGCGCGCGATACCAAACATGAATCATATTTCCTCCATCCAATAAAGTAGCTGGTGATTGCTTCGTAATAAATATTAAATAAAAGAACATAAATCAAAATAATAAAAGTGAAAATAATCATTTCCTCTATATAAAAAAAATGTCCTATAATGTGACTTTTTATGTATGTGGGAAATTCCAATTTTCTTTATTTTCTCTCTCCCAACCTCCGACATGATGCATGATACGTTCATTGCTTTTTTTTATATATTCAATATCACAATCAAATCTGAATTATATTTAAAATTAAAATTTAACGATTATGTGTATTTTTTATTCACTTTGTTACTTTACAGCAGCAAATTGTAGCTTGCTGCTCTCTTTTAATGCTCTTCCACTCTTTTTGATGCGAAAAGGGAAACAATAAAAATTTGTAAGTCAATTGATTCTTTAACAATCACACATGTACTTGGAATTTCTTTCCTTTTTGATTCTTTATGCTGTGCTTCGATTGCGATTGAAAGGAATTTCCATCGTGTTTTGATAGGAATGGGAAATAAATCGGATTTTGATGATTTTTTGAAGGAATTTTAAATTTAAAAGAGTTTAAAGGATCTGAGAATTGAAGGAAGAATTTTAATAAAATGTTGAATTTTTTGGAAAGGATTATGACCCCCCTCAACCTCCCCCCTCCCCCCTCTTCTATCCTGGAAAAATGTCTAGCAAGGTCTCTGGAATTTGATTATTATTTGTTAATTTTTATTTGTTTTTAAAAACTTTGGTATAAATTCATATTTATAATACATCCCCTCACAGCCCCCCCCCCCCCCCCCTTCTAAGAATCAACCTGAAAGTAGTTTTGCCTTCTTGCTTCACTTTAATAATCTTAGTTCACTTCCTTAGTTCCTTAAACTCCAATCTAATGCCTTTATTCCAGTTACTTTAGCTTATTCACATACCATTTTCGATTATTATGTTTAATGTGGTAGAATTATTTATGATGTGCACAATGCATCCAATCATCATGACGAAGCATCTTAAAAATACTTTCATCTTATTTTATTTTATTTTTAGTTTTGCACTCCATTGAATAAATGTCCAGATTTTTTTTCATTACTTCTATTCAATTTGCTGCACTTCCGATAGAAAAACACTTTTTTAATGTCTTTATTTTTTTTTCAATTCATTTCTTCTTTTATGACATGAACGGCAATTCAATTTAGAGAAGGAATTTGATGATAAGAAATCAAGAGCAGGAGATAAAGGAAGAAGAAAAAAAAGCAATTTTGGTTTCTATTTCAATTGTCCATCTTTTTAATAGCATTTTCTTTCGTTTTATGAACTTTTCATTTTTTTTTTCTTTCTTATTTTACCCTTTCTTTTATTCTCGTGCTCTCAACTCAATTGATGTCAACGCATCTTTATGGACTTTTAAGTTGAATGGATTTGAAAAAAAATTTTTATGAGGTTTCATGGATTGATAGATGTTTTTTTGTAAATTAATGTGATTTAAGAGTATGAACCAGTGTGGAGTCTTACTTACTGTAATCATGACTCTTTTTTGGAGCTTAACCCGAAATGCACAGGTCGGTTAATTGAATAGAAATTCGGTATCAAGCTAGCGTGACTCTTGCACTCGAATCGAATCGAATCCAGCACCATGTCAGAGTTACGCCAGCTTAGTGCCGGATTGTAACCAATTTGTGCTATTCGGGTAAGCTTCAACAAAAGTCTTTCGATCTGAGTTTAGTGCCTTAGCAGAATAGAACCTGGAGTATTGAGCAATATGTAGGCGAATATGCCAGTGCGAGAATAAGGCCTCTGTGGTCGAGTGGTTAGATAACATGCTGGATATCTGTAACACTCTTTTATGAGGACGTGGGTTCGAATCCCACCAGAGACTGATCTTTTAATTATGAAATAGAGAGCTTGAATAGATCATAAAAAAGATATGACCAGAATCCGAAAAATGCCCCTAACATTTCAACTAGGAACACAATAGAACACCTAGTGTTAATCTAGCGCAAGGTAATTAACCTAGTTCAAGGCTTCTTTAACCGTTGTCTCACATAATATTTTCGATTTTTTTTTTCCCAAAAAGGTTTATCTTATCTGACTATCTGAACATTTAAGATTCTCAATTTCCCAAGGCTGCCAGATTTGAACCACGATTCTTCTGATATCCAGCACATACCTTTCATTCGTCCCGTAATCAAGCTATCCATCAATTTTGATCATAATAGGCAAAATATCCCGTTAGAGTCTTAAAAATATATCTTAAAGTCCTTTAACCTCTTAACAGAGTTTGTACAGCCAGTAATATTACTAGAAATACATCCTTTCTGCTGAATGCCCCCACAAAAAGTTGCAAACAAAAGTTAAATCAAAAAATACTGAAGAACTCCTCAAAATTTTTTTTCCATGTTATTTAACTGTCGATGTACGATAAGACAGCAAAAGACACATACACAACACATACATAACGGTAGCAAATAAAGGAGGCAAAGAAGAAGAAAAGTTTACGGATCAAAGAAGAAAAACTTTTTGCCTCCCTCTTCGGAAAAAGTCTGAAAGAAAAAATCTTTCTTTCCTATTTTTTGTTGTTATTGTGTATATTTTTTGCATAATTTATGATGTAGAGATTTATATTATACCGAAATGATCATAGTATTATTATGTGTGATAATCAATGACTTAGAAGAAATCTTCGAATCTTCTTTACAGCTTTATTTTTCATTTATATTTTGAGATGTTGCTGCTGCTGCTGCTGCTTGTTGTCGTGTTGAAAAACTTTATTTATTTTTTTGTGTCTGTATTTTAATAAAAATAACAAGGAGGGATGAGAGATTTTTGTTGCTTATTTTTTTGTGCTGAATGGTCATCATGAGAATCAAAAGTTTCTGTTTATTTGAAGACATGGATAATATGTTGAATGCTGATTGCAGACATTTGATAAATTCCTTCTTTTTCGTATTTGTTTGACGCAATCGAAAGTTTTTTTTAAAAAATAGTTTTGAGTATGTTGGCACCTGCACAATAAATGTTTTCAACTAAGAAGCGTAGGAAGTTCTTTTTTGGATTGTTCTATAAACTTATCATCAATTAATACAACTAATTTATTTATCAACAACTGGATACATTCAAAGAAACTTGATTTGAGTGCATTTT